GTCAGCCTGCCCGGGAGGGCTGCAGCGGAGAGAAGCGCGTCTCCGCCCGTCGCTGCGCCGCGAAGGGACCTCCGACGAAGGCGGGAGCGCGTCCCTTTCGCGCGAGCGGCAGCTGCGGATTCAGTCACGGAGCCGCCGCGGCTCCCCGCGCGCTCTTGCCGGCGAGCAGATGCCGCGGGTCGCCGCGGGACCTCCACGCCGGCGGGCCTCGTACGAGGGAGAAGGCGCGGCGGGTCGTCCTGGAAGTACAAAACACAGAGCGCCCTTTTGTTACGGGAGGATGTCCTGCTTCCCCTTAACCGAGAAAGGGGCCCCGGGGGCGAGACCCGAAGCCCCCGCGGAAGGGTCCATTCACTGCTGCTTCCTTTTTAGAGGGGGTGCCCCTGATGCAGGTGCTTGAAGGGAAAGAGGGTCGTCGAAGCTGCTTTTTGACTCGTCTGCCCCAACAGCTGCTTAGATGAAGTTATGAAACTCCCCAAAGAACTTTTCTGCTGTCTCTGACTCCCCAACTTTGCTGCCCTTTTTTGGGAGAGGACACATCTCCAAAATTTGCCTAAATATATTAAAGTGTATGGCTATAAAAAGAGAAGATGGTTTTCCTGATGCTTCAGTATTAATCCCTAGAGAATTGGGGGGGGGGATTAGGTGACAAATACGCATAATGAAACTTTTATGTATGAAAACTCTTTCTGAATTTTGTACCTGGTTATTTTAAAAAGACAGGGTGCTCCCAACCAGATGTAAACGATCAGATTCAGAAATCATCCTCTTGTCTGCAAACCTTTCACCTTAAAAAAAAAAACAACTTCAAAAGGTTTGTAAATATACCTAGGATCCACTTTTTTACTTCAGTGAAACTTAATCCTTGAATGATTGTGCAAGTTAGCACAATTTATTAATGCGAAGTGCGTTTCACACCATAGTTAGCTTGCAACTTTCTGTTTCATTTTTATTTCAAAATATTTATCATGGTTATAGATTTATAGTATCTGTAGTGCTTATGATGTTCGGAGGGGGGTGCCTCAAGATAAAACCACTTTCACTGTTTTTATCTAGAACAAGTGGCACCAAATCAGGATTTGAAAACTCCCATTTTCAATTCAGAGCAAATGAATGGAAGCTCATTGGTGTGATGGGTCAGACTGTAGAATTTTGCCTTCTGGATATTTCTGCCCTACGTAATGGAGTCTGTATACCCATCAAGTATCCAGTTATATAGCTTGCCCACCTGTGCCAACTCTGAATTTGCAAGACTACAGCCTGAATCATCTGTTGTTTAACAATAAATCCTAACATTCAGAGTGGTTCAAGATTACAGTCTTGTCTCTATTATCCTTGTTTTAATTGGTGGTGTAATATCAAGACAGTGAATAATTCTAGTGTTGGGATAGACATTCTTATGCTATACAATAAAAAACAAATATCGACAACCAAATGTCGGTTCATCCAAGTAAAGAATCCTAAAGAGACCAACACAAAGTTCCTTCCTTCCTTCCTTCCTTCCTTCCTTCCTTCCT